AAAAAATTAAAATATATATTATATTATTTTTTAAGAAGACAGTTTAGTAGTAGCTACCCACTTGATGCTCCATATAAACTATAGGATTATTCAACTAGGGCTGCAACCAACTAATCGATAATGAGAATAGTTGTCAACTATTCTCATTATAATTAGTTGGTTGGATCCCCCTAGCTCTCTCCTCCATGCTGGGAGGACGACAGAGCCAGCAGTGGGCTGGTGCAATAGCCAGCCTGCTATTGGCTATTGCAAGATTTGAAATGGCCAATAGCAATCCGGCTATTGCACTCACCCACTAGCTGCTGTATTTACATTCACCTGCCATCTACAGAATCTTGCAACTGGGCAGCTGTCATTCCCAGGCTGAAGCTATTGAAGCTCCATGTGCTTACAATACAATTATTTAAAAAAAAAAACCATTATAAAAAATCTGGGGAAAAAAGTAATTTACGGTCTGACAAATTCTGCTGTGGGACGCACCTCCCACCCACACAGTGTAATCGCCTGCACGGGAAGACATGGTACCGCAATGCCGTGCGTTCCAGTGCAGTGCAATTGCAAAAAATTGTGCATGCAGTTTTATTCTGAAGTTTATGTTTTTAAAAAAACGGGGCCAGGTAAAAGAGGCTCCTGGGGACAGCATTAGGGGAAAAGACCCCACTTTGGTCTCTGACGATGAAGGGGTTGTTTCCCCTCCCTAGGGGACAAAAACCTCTGGAGAGGGAGAGAGGGGTTCCCTTTGCTAACTAAACCCCATGCATTGCACCCTTGCAGGCTCACTGAACCAGCAGACTCCCAGGAAGAATGCCACTGGAGGCCCCTTCACCTAGAAACACAGGCCTGGCAGAAAAACAATAAAATCTATGATCTATGAACGATCTCCATCTATGCTTTCCTATTAGGACTGAGGAAACACACAAATTTAATTGTGGATGATGCATTTCTTGTTTTTAGGTGGGCGGAGCCTCTTTTCTGTGCTGTCCTGGAAAAAACGGGATCAGAATTTACTGCACAGAAGTAAAGAGTGTTAGAAAATCTTCAGCCATCAGACCTGACTTAAAAGCAAAAATATTTTTTTAACATAAACCAAAAACAATCTTCAGCTTTGTGACTTCCTTGAATGAGCACACAGGAGAGCAGAGCTCATATAAAGCCGAGTTCCAGACACAAAACCTTTGAATACATTCCTCAACGGCCACTAAGAACATAAATCCACTTTGTGTCAACCGAACACCTTTGCAGATCCAAATATTAATATTTAAAACCATCAGTGATATCATCGTGCTGGGAGGAGACCAACTGGCTCCACCTTCTACATGCTGTCTGCATAAAATTACAGAAGAGGGGTGGCTACAAGACCGGTCAGAGAACAGCAGTGACTGGTCTAGAAGTCTCACACCGGATTACTGATGAATCTTGGGGAGCTTTGTGTCATTTTCAAGATCTAAGAATACAGAAAAAAGTCAAACCAACTAAAAGTGATATTTCTCTTGTAATTCAATGGGGGAAGGGCAGAGTTGCATTTTGCGGTATGTGCCCTTCCTTTGGGACTCCAGACATTAAAGTGTTTCTCCACCTCCATGGGCTACATCTGTTTATCAAATGATCTTCTAGGAGGTAGATGGAGGACACTTTCAATGCTTCTGTGAGATATTCAAGGGAAATTCTAGACACATTTACTGGCAGACATCAGCTCAGTCACCATATGACAGACAAAGAATGAGAATATTACCATGTTGGGAGACTGGTAGTTCGGGTTCTCATACAAGGTTGGTCCTCCAAAACTTCCTTGGAAAATCTTGATAAGGTTCAGTACAAATCGAGGTCCAATTTCCACGAGAGATGCGTCTTCTTCTATAATCTAGAGGGAAGAGTTATCATTACTTTATGCAGAAAACCTTTCCAGCCCCCTAACATATCAGGTAAATCAAGGCTGGACAAACCCCAGGAGCCAGGAAGCCAGGGCCTTCTAAAAAGAACAGCCAGAGCCTACGCTTATGGTTTTCTATAGTTGTTTCCAATAGAGTTGGACTCCTGGATTAAGCTTGCCATACACCTATAGATTATCTGCAGATGTTCTATGGATGGAAAGTGCAACAGATTCCTCCATCTACGCTAAACTGTGTGTATGGAGGAATCTCCCGCTGGGCCAAGCTTCAGTATCTAGCTAGTCGGCCCCGCTGGCTGTCAATACCTGAACAATGCCCGCACCCAATCAGATTGTTCCAGTATTTTGAGAGCCAGTACCTGAACTCAGCATTTGTCCACCTCTGAGGTAAATGGCGCAGTGGATCTAATCATCATCCCCAAACACACTGTGGTGTTGGGAAACGATGCTCCCTTCATAACAGATTACTGACAAGAACAGCAGTGCTCTCCTCTGCCACTGCTTTCCTCCAGAGCTGCCGGTCTAAACACTTAACCTCGTCCCCCCCAACCTGCAGCACCGATTATGATCATGTGACGAACACATGCACCATCATATAGGAGCAGAGGCTTGCATGGCTGTTGGGATAACATTAAAGGGACACTAACCTCTTAGGCTACATTCCCATTGC